TTCCCGCGGTGTCCCCGTGGTGATTTGGGGGTCCCGGGGGTCCCCAGGTGGTGTTGCTGGAGGCCAGTGGCCGTTTTGGGGGGTGGCTACAGAGCTCCAGGACCCCCGAGGGCGCCGTGTTCGAGCACGGCCCCAGGGGCGTCCGCCCGGCGGGGGCGGCGGGGGCCGAGACCCTGCACATGGTACCGGGGGTTTGGGGGGTCCATGGGTTTGGGGGGGTCCCTGGTGTTTGGGGTGGTCCCCAGGGCTGGGTTTGGGGGGGCCCCGGGGTTTGAGGGGGTCCCTGGAGTTTGGAAGCATCCCCGGGGTTGGGTTTGGGGGCGTCTCTGGTGGTTGGAAGGGTCCCCAGGGCTGGGTTTGGGGGTTCCGTGGTGTGGTTTGAGGGGTCCCTGGGGTTTGGGGGGGTCCCTGGTGTTTAGGGGGGTCCCCGGGCTTGGTTTTGGGGTGACAGAGGGGTGCTGGGGGGTTTTCGGGGGTCCTGGGTGGGTGTATGGGGTCCCTGGGCTGGTTTTGGGATGACAGAGGGGTCCTGGTGTTTGGCGGTCCCTGGATAAATTTTTGGCGTCCCTGGGAGGATTTTGGGGGTCTCTGGATGAATTTTGGGGTCTCTGTGTGAATCCCGGGGTCCCTCCCCCGGTGTCACCGATGTCCCCGCAGGTGTCGGAGCTGGGGCTGGCCGGTGACATCCTGGCTGTCCCCAAGGGCCACCCGGCGGCTCGGAACCGCTTCCTGTACCTGGGGGGGACCCTGCACCCCCTGCCCTCGGGGCTGGGGTGCGTGTCCCCTGTCCCCAGGGCCACCTCCCCCTGTCCCCTGTCCCCAGGGCCATCCTTGTCCCCAGTGTCACCCCTTGACTGTGCAGGGTCCCCGGGAGGCTGCTCTGGGTGGTGTCCCCAATGTTCCCAATGTCCTCCTGTCCTCAATGCCACCTCCTGTGCCCAGTGCCACCCATGTCCCTGCTGTCCCCAGGGGCCTGATCCGGGCTGTCCCTGTCCCTGCTGTCCCCAATGTCCCTCCTGTCCCCAGGGGGTTACTCTGGGCTGTGTCCCCTGTCCCTAGTGTCATCCCCCAATGTCCCTCCTGTCCCCAGGGGCCTGCTCCAGGCTGTCCCCAATGTCACTCCTGTCCCCAGGTGGTTTCTCTGGGCTGTGTCCCCTGTCCCCAGTGTCATCCCCCAATGTCCCCCCTGTCCCAAGGGGCCTGATCCGGGCTGTCCCCAATGTCCCAGCTGTCCCCAATGTCACTCCTGTCCCCCGGGGGTTACTCTGGGCAGTGTCCCCTGTCCCTAGTGTCATCCCCCGTGTCCCCAATGTCCCCACGGGCCTTCTCTGGGCTGTCCCCAATGTCCCACCCCTGTCCCCAGTGCCCCTCTTGTCCCCAGGGGGTTGCTCCGGGCCGTGTCCCAGCTGTCCCCAGTGTCACCCCCCGTGTCCCCAATGTCCCCAATGTCCCCAGGGGCCTGCTCCGGGCTGTCCCCCCGTTCTCCCGGGCCCTGTTCTGGAGCGCTCTGCGGGATTTGCTGACCCCGGCGGGGACGGGGCCGGACGAGAGCGCCCACGCCTTCGCCCGGCGCCGCTTCGGCCCCGAGGTGGGTGCCCCCCAGAACCCCAAAAATATCCCCCAGAAACCCCCCAAAACCTCCAGAAACCCCCCAAAACCCCCAGAACCCCTAAAAAACCCCCAGAACCCT